TCCAGTAGGACGTCTGCTCAGTGTCAGCCGTCTCCATCCACGCACGCTCCGCTCCGTCAACGCTGGCTGGTGTGGCTTGCCGGAGAGAATGCTGCTCTCATGGAGCGCAGAGTAAATACCAAGGGCTCAAATTTAAGGACTCGTTCATCTGTGTGAGATGGTGCTTGCAGGTATCAAATACGCGCACTGACGAGAAGCATGAAACTATATCGTCTCATCGATCTTACTGAGCTCACTGAAGGTTCTGCGAGATGAATTTCAGCTACATTATGCTCTCAGTTATACATTTTTCTGGATCTTTTTCTTTAAAAAAGTAAATCCAGCATTGAAGTTGGTATGTCTTGATTATTATTAGTAAAGAGAGTGTCTCGCATTCTGAAGGCTCTACTTCATTTGGCTCGCGGGAGCACAGTCATCTTAATCATCTCTTTATGGGATCATTTAAAAGCAGCTCTGTTTCCAATTTCCTTCTGAATATGTATTTATTAACCGCTTCGAATGCTGCCAAAAATGCCAGTGCAGGGACTTTTTGAGACCAAATGCTGCTTTCTGCCGTTGTAATGCTCTGACACTGATACCCGACTGGCACATGCACAGTTCTGAGCAGCCGCGCATTCGCCTGCGCCTGATTAGCATGCATCTGATGCTGGTGGATGTGGGAGTCGCCTGCCCACAGAAGATCACGCTCTGCTGCCCACCAGCAATGCACCTCTGCTGCTAGCCAGGCCAGGAAGAGCCTTCTGCTAATCCCTCTGGACCTTTCTATCATATCTGAAACTCTGTGCCTCCCTTTGCTCTTTTGTTTTTATTTTTCGTATATATGGCGTTGTGTGCCTGATGTTTTAATAATGAGTGGCATTCTGGAAAAGCTGGATTATCACTATTGGGTCACTACTCACTACTGTGAGTGTCATGGTGGCTCTTTAGGTAGGACTGCTTCCTCACACCTGCAGGGTTGTGTGTTTGAATCCCACCTCCATTCTCTGTGTGGAGTTTGCGTGTTCTTTTTGTATTATGTGGATTTACTTCTGAAATGGAATGCAAGTCTTTACGTTGCCCACAGTATTTGTGTCCAGTGATGGCATCCCATCAAGAATAGAACCTGGCCTTGTCCCCTGTTCTGCCTGGGGTAGGCTCCAAGCCCCTCCGCCGACCCTGACCGGGATGAGCGGTAGGACGATGGGGGTTTCTGCTAAGTACCTCGCTTGCCTTACTATACCGTCTCCCCACCTGCAATGTAAATCATCATATAAGTTTCAAGTTCAACGGCTGTCCAAATATAGTAGGAGACCCATGATCTGAAGAAGACTCAGGAATGCCATCTGTCCACGGGCCCTGCTCTGCCTCACCGTCCGTACAGCATTGCTCTCTGCCGAAGCCCTCGTTCTTTTTCCGAAAGTCTCCTCTACTGATAGATGTCCTCAGTCTTTTCCCCTTACTGCCTTGGCAGAGGGTGCATGGTCCTCGTACCCTGCCGCTTCTGTCTTCCAGCATAGTTGCATGTTTATGGAGACCCTTGCAGGTCTGGCTTGTGTTTTCTGTCTCTCTTGCGTTGGAGTTTATTCTTGTACTGCTTCTAACGCCTGTCATTCATTAACTGCATATATAGCAGTTACTGCTTGCTGTTAAACTCAACGTAATGTTAATGGTAACTTGTAAAGGAAAACTTTTTTTTTTGGTCTGTACTTTTAAATGAGCCTATAATCTGTCAGGAATTACCCGGCCAGGTGACTAATTACAGTATGGTATTCTAGATGGTACAAGCCAACCTAGAACATGAGATGGATTGGTCAGCAGGCAGGCCTTTCAAAAGCACAATAAGACCTGGGAAACTGTCAACTGAGTCATTATTTAGTTTAAAAGTACAAAGAAAAGAATTAAGGTGAAAGAGGTGTGAGATGTTTTCCTGTTCTTGGCTGGTCGTGAATCTCGTCACTGTCGGCAGATTTGTCTTCTGGCTAAATGTCTCCTGTCGGTCCAGCCAGACCGTCCGCACCCTGCAACGTGCAAAACATGCGAAACGTTTGCATACGTCTGGATGCCTTTTTGCGTGAAACCTGTGCCACGATGGAGCACTTTCTTTGGCTGACGTCTTTCATCAGGGGAGGCCTGGGACCTGGGTCTTCACTCGAGGGTCATCACCATTGCCTTTGCTGTCCCTGTAAAACCAAGAAGCTTCTTTTCTAGTTTGTTTAGTTTCTTAGCAGATGTAAAGGGATGATGAAGCTCTTGTGCGCCTGTTGTTGAGGCTCCTTGAATTTCTTCAGAGTGATTTTTTTTCCCCCCCTCTGTTTTCGTAACCCTCCCCCCCCACCAACACACACTATGCAGTGTGGCTCTACTTCCTGCTGGCTGCTATTCTTAGCTTTCCAGCTGATTTGCTTTGTGGTGGTGACAGAGTAGGAGGGACAGGAGGTTCTGTATGTATGTTTACACTGTGGCCCCTGATGCTGCTGCCCTCACTGTATGCAGGCCTGCTTTACCTGTCCCATTCCGCCTCATCCTGTACCATTTGATTTCCCTCTTGTTTGGAACCATTGGACTTTCCCCTTCTAAATACACCTCGCATGAAGGCTGAAAGCGTGTCTTGCTGGTGAATTGGCCCCTAACTTCTGCACCCTTCCTTGCACGCGAGCTTTTCCTTTTGATGGGAGGCTGTTTTTGACTCGCTATGGAGCATTTGGACCCGACTATGTGGCATCAGATCGGGCTGTTTGGAGTTCACAGCCACGCGTGTTTACTCTGCCGAGGGACCATCTACATTTTTCTAAAAGCCCTACGTGGGTGACCTGCAGCTTTTGTACTGGCAGTAGAGGCGGGACTGGGGGNGGGGGGGAATTTTACTCTGGCTCGTCCTTGTTGGCACAGACTCGTTTGTGGTGTGACTTTGAGTGTGAAAGTGGTCCCAGAGCTTTGCAGTGTTAAGTCTTCATGTCACTGCACGTTAAGCCAGTCCAGCTGCTGCGACTCTGCAGTGGGGTGGCAATGAATTGGTGCAGCCAGAAGGGACCTCCAGGAACGCGTCCTGCCACTTCCCAACCCACATGGGACAGCTTCCCGTCACGGCCAGATTCACAGATAAAATAATGACTCTTTGCCTCAGACGTAAAGCTGAACAGACTGGCTGTTGGGCTTTTTGTATTGGCTTGTTGACCGGTGTCCATTTTGGGGCATTTTCACCCGTCCTGTTGTGAAATAAGCGACGTATCGGCTTTGCTGTCATCTGTAGAAATGTTATTTCACGCAGTCGAAAGTTGCACAGCGCGTCTCCTCCGCGAGATGCTGCCTGGGGCCCCCCATTTGCCGCAAAGATAGAATTGCACTTCTGTCCATGTGGGACACATGAAGACAATTTCCCCACATGAAGATGAAGAATTACTGTTCTGCTTTATAAACTTCCTGCCGTGTTGCTGCTCATTGGGCAGATTGCCTAGCTTGGGTGTTTGGTTGTGTGCTACATTCACAACTTCATTGTTTCTGCTCTTCACGGTTGCCCCGGTTTCATCCCACTAAAGTAAAGCGTGTGTTTTACAGTAGGTGGATCTCTGAGTGTGTGTGTATTATGTGTTGGACTGGCATCCTGTAGGGTTCAGTACCAAAACCCAGTGCCAATATGGCGTCGGTTCCCATATGATCAGTACGTACTGGACAATATTGCAATGCAGATTTTGGTGCCTCATTTCAGTGCCACTTAAATGCCTGAGCCGTCAGTTGAAGTATTTGCCCTCTGGTGCTCAGGCAACAGAAGCATCACTCCACCTCACGCACCATCACTAGCTAACATTACACTTGCCCTGATGTCAGCAGATGCCTACTGTTAGCTAGTAACTACGTTAAACACGGTTAAAATGCCTAAAGCTAAATGATCTGAAGTGTAGCTGCATTTCACTTGAAAGGATGCCGACACCAGGACGTGCAACAAATGTTTAAAAAACTATTGTGTGTTTCCTGGGACACGTCTCATGCTCTCCACACTGCCGCACTGGAGAAGTGTTTATGGAAAAACCATGAATGGATGGTGGGGGCTTCATATTGCCCATGGCATAAAGCTGAATTCATTTTGTTCCCAAAGGTTCCTCTTTTTTCAGCAAAAAATGTATTCTACATTTTCTATTTATGCTTTGTTCTTTATGTTTTTACAAAGTTGCTTGACAGTTTTTTCCATCGCCTGCCAGTCGTATGACTATATTAACCAGCGATATTGGTGCAGATGAAAATAAACTTGGATACATAGCAAGTCTCATCTGCTCCATATCCAGTGCGAAGATACTGCAGTTGTGGTGCAATTTCAAAATAATTTCTGGATCTGAGAAGAGCATGTTTAGCAGGTATCTGTTTCCACTGATGTCTGAGGGTAGCATGTTGCCTCTGGCGCTGACGCACGAGCATTCAGGCAAGGCTTCTCTCACGCTACCTTTTGCAAATGGTGCTTTACTGAGCCACTTAAATGTATAAAATCCTGTCCTGCTATTGTTGCTCTTGTTGCATATTCTTACGGCTAATTTCCGTTTCCATAGCGATCACTGGGGATGGACTGTAAACCAGACTCGAATCCCAGTCTACTTGACATTTTATGGTTATAAATCTTAAACATATAGATGTGATAAACCCTTTCATCTGTCACTTGAAAGGGGTTGTGATCTTTTTATGATGATCCTTGTCTTTTAAAAACAGTTTGCTTTTGTCTTCCCAGAAAACAACCTGATGGACTAGAATGAACCTTTGTAAGAGCAAGGCCCAGTTTCTGTCCATTTCCCTAGAGCAGGGGTGGCCAGTCTTATCCGCAGAGGGCTGGTGTGTATGCAGGTTTTTGGGATAACCTGTAGGTCAGCTGTTCAAACCCAGGTGTGAGGACTCTTCAGCCAATCAGTCCTCTAATTAGTAATCTAATTCGGGAGTTGCAGCGAAAACCCGCATACACACCGGCCCTTTGCGGATAAGATTGGCCACCCCTGCCCTAGAACATATGTGACATATTTTGCTCTTTCTCCCTTTTACAGGTTGCTCACAATGGCCTAGTGTGCCCTGTAGTGAACAGGCGAGGGCAGCTCTTTGCACGGCTGATCGGCACTTTCCCTTACAAGTAAGTAGAGCCACTAGTTATCTGGTTTGTCACCGAGTTTGTAGCATACAACCAAAACTTGTTAGAGGACCCCTGCACACCCTTTACTGTGTAAAGTTAGTTCTCTTGTGTCCCCTGGTGAATATTTTCAAGGTTGAAGTGCTGTCTTCGCTCTAAGACAGGGGTAGTGTTTTCTGTGCGTAGCTTGATGTGAACAAGCTTGTTTTTGGTACAGCATGAGGCATAACAGGTTGGATCAGCTGCAAACGCCTTGGGCTTCAGCTCACTTTTTAAACAAACCCTTTATTGGTCTGAGTACAGAGAAGTGGAAAGCTTTAATCAGCGGGATGCTGACATTTCTGTCACCCATTCAGATCCTAGTAGACAGCTTGGTGAGCCTTGAGTCATTGCAATGAAGTTTCGTGGTTTTATTAAGCACTATATTCATCCATTTGTCTTCCATACTGCTTATCTAGTAGCATAAGATATGATGAGCTTGAAGCTAATCCCAAGAATCACAGGGCTTAAGGCCAGGTACACCCTGGATGGGATGCCAGTGCATTTCTGAGCTCACGCTTACACACACTCACTCACTATGTGTTGCATACTTGTACAGAATTAAACTAAAGCCCAGCGCTGCCTGTTGCGCTGTGACCGCTGCTGCGCCGCTCAGTTGGGAGACCCTGGCTGACTGCTTCTCCCATCCCAACCGCGCTCCGTCTCTCACGCCCTGCAGGCCGCCTGACCCAGACTCGGAGCTGCCGTCGGCCAGCCTGCCATCCGCACGAGAGGCCCCGCTGCTCTTCTCCGCGTCAAAAGCAGCGTGAGTCCATAGACAGCTGGTGTGACACTCCTGCTTGCAGGATTCTGAAGGTCGTGCGTCGGTTCCTGTAACCACATCTCATTATGTCTGTCTGGGATGAATTCAGGTTCTGGCTCGCTTTCTCTGTTTTAAATAACAACTCTGAGGTTTTCCTTTGTATGTTGGATAGTGAAAAAACAAAAAGGCAAAGGGTGCACTGGAATCGTCTCGGAGAAGCTGGGCTGGAGTCAGCCCTCTCGTGAATGTTCCCTAAAACGCGGTGATGGTGCCGCTGGAGTCCCAGGTGCAGAACCGCGCCTTTGCTGCGTCTCCCTTGTTGCTTGCCTTTGTGTTCATGACCATCTGCAGTTCATTAAGAGTTCCCTGTTCCTCTTTGACTTATTGTGAATAATTTTGCATTTCCTTGGGCGGCTCACCACCTGTCTGTGCTTTTCTCTGGTGGAGCTGGAAGGTCTGCGTTGTTGCTTTGACGGGGACCTTTAGTGAGTAGGCGTGGAATGTTAGTAAAATGACGCATGTATTTACCTGCAAGGGAACTTGCAGAAAATTAATAAATGTGCAATGATATTTGTGTAAATACTAGCTACATAGTGCAGGCTGTTCTGACTCATGAATTGCACAATCTTATTTATTCTTTACCGGAATCCCTTAGGCATTTAATTAAAATATATACCAGGGAATTTCTATGACTATAACACTTGTGGTGTTATATTCTTGCATGTATTTCTGTATGTTTTACATTTATTTAGTTGATGTTTTTCCCTGGAGCAATTGTGGTTAAGTACCTCACTCAAGGGCCCAACAATGATATTCCTCTACCAACCATGGGATTTGAACCAGTGACCTACTGATCACTAGCAGAGAGTCCTAACCTGCAGAACAAAACACTGTCCCAATGGTATTTTATGTAACTTTTTCCATTAAAGTTTCATTTTTCAACAAAGGGAGACTATCGACCATGATACATAAGAAATTTTGTTATGATATGGCCATCCTTTGTTACAGTAATATAAGCTTGGGTTAATGTCTAATTTACACCTGAAATTGTTGTCATGAAACCTATACCACTTTATCGGATTATTCTACCCTGGCTAGCTCAGCAACTGAGCACTGATCGAAGTACACCAGACCAGAAATGGAAACTAGTTGGGTATCAGTCTAAATGATAAAGACAATGTTTTTTGTATTTTCAATGAGATATTTATATGATTTGTAAATCATTGCATTCTTGTTTTTTTTACACATTTATTTTACACAATCGATAGTAGACGTATGGTAAGGAATTGCATTGTGGGCACGGTTTTTTGTTCTCCTAAACAAACAGTTTTACCTGCACTTAATAATTAATACCTTAAAATTGGCAAAGACACATCATCTTATTTGTAAGACGTCTTTTCTTTTGCCTGAGGTCATCTCTGCATCCATGATTCACACACATTAAGGAGACCTGCTTGTTTCTCTGCGCTGCTTCTCAAAGAGCAGAATCCATCTGATCCATGCTGCTAGGAGGCTGCCTCCTTGCCACGGATCCAGCTGTGTAACGTAAAATGTTCGTAAGTCGTTATTGAACATCGTTTTAAGGGAAAACAAAGAACTAGGATGCTGGGAGTACTCACGCTACTCTACTGCGTGGCAGGGGGTAGCGGCCAGGAGTCGTACTAGGCGGAATTGGCACGCAGAAAAAACAAATTGATGTTGCGGACAGGAAACGGGAGCCCAATTAACACAATTTGGACTTACAGTCCTCTTAGTTTGTATGTCTGAAAGTTCATAAGTTGAAAGTTCGCAAGTAGAGGAGTGTCTGTATTGTCTCACCATGTTAGGGTTACAGTTAGGGTTCCATTGGTTTATTGACATACCATATTAAAGTTCCATCAGTTCACTGACAAACCATGTTAGGGTTCTATCGGTTTATTGACATACCATGTTAAGGTTCCACTGGTTTACTGACACACCATATTAGGGTTCTGCTGGTTTACTAACATACCATATTAAGGTCCCATCGGTTTACTAACATACCATGTTAGGGTTCCATTGGTTTATTGACATACCATGTTAGGGTTCCGTTGGTTTATTGACATACCATGTTAGGGTTCCGTTGGTTTATTGACATACCATGTTAGGGTTCCATTGGTTTATTGACATATCATGTCTGAAATAGCCAATTACACTGCCTTTCCTTTGTGGGAACCGTCTGGCTAGCATATCCAATTGACAGAAAGATGTGAAGATCTTTGTCTGCCTGTCTGAAAGATGCTGCCTCTACTTCTGTCCATTAAGGTCTGGGTGGTGGTGCTGCTGGAAGGGGGTCAGTTATCTACACAGGTGTGGCTCAGTAGCCAGGCAGGACTGTAGCCCCAACCACAGATGGCAGCCAATGGCCGTTCCGTCCTGCAGACCATTATCCTGCATCTACCACAGCTGAAGATCTGCTGTACCGCGCCCTTTGAAAACCTACACTAGTGGAAAATGGGCTTCATGACAGAACAAACATGGATTGTGGTTTGGGAGGGGTCGCAGATAGATCTGATACCTGCTTGAGTGTTCGTCTCTTTGTTTCAACTTGGGTTCAACTAAAGCCGATTTGTGGTGAAAGCAGTACTTCAGATGCCTAAGCTGCATGATAAAGCCACATGGAATTCCTAAAATAGCTCCCTGTATTAATTCCTTTAGGATTAGAAGGTGTTTAATGGGAATGTGCTGTGAACATTTAGCCCGATGTCACTGAATTTTTATATACTATTTAGATTTAGGTTCAAACAGTGTTCATTCTCTTTTTACACTCCTGCCAACCAGCCTTGTCATCTGCCTTTGAACGTTTGTTTGTGCCCTGATATTTGTCGTGGGGTGGGAAAAAATTTGAATTAGTTTGACAGATTTCGCATTGAACTTAATGGATCTAACCAAAAATCAGCTCATGTTCGTGCTTTATGTGAAATGGTTTCGCTCTGAGTTTACTGCTCCTTTGTAGAACAGCAATTTAATGAGGGCATGTGGTGAGAGTTGCCAGTGGAGATCTGGGGGTGTAGATGTTTCACTTTGGGGAGGCACAAAGATTATGGAGGGATGACATCTTTGCCAAGCGGAACAAGCCGCAGTGGGTGTTTGGCGGAGATCTGCGGGAGTCACGGGCTCAATGGCTCCCAATGAGGAGCATGTTGAGGGGATGGTGTAGTTAAAGAAGACATAACCAGCTCTTTTCCTTCCACCTCTATCTCCTGCAGATCTGTTTTTATCCCACTGTTGTATGGATGATCTCTTCAAGAGTCTTTTGTCTTTTTAAAATCCACCTATGAGCTTCTGAGCTTCATCAACATATTTCATAAAGATTTATATATTAAGGAATTATAGTTATAATACTACAGTGTAGTTGAATAGTGAGGAGCTGCAGTTTGGCCCACTGTCTTGATTATGGTATTTAAAGGAATCTACTGGTTTGCAGGGTGTTTGGGTGCTTGCGTCACACACATGGGATTATGTCCAGACAGAACGTGCTGTACTAAGAAGTGCACGAGTGAACTCGTCACCACAGCCATTCCTTGTGATTTTCATTAATATTGCAAGTTCCACCCATGTGCCCAACAAAGCTGGTTGATCTCTTGCCAGACCCCGTTTTGGCTTATGGGAAACACCTTTCGTTTTTCATCTCATTGTATGATTCCCAGTCCATGTATCGGCTGTTATTATATCCTTAGTTTGCCTTTTGTTAACAACTATCCCAACTGCCATAGTACAGGACACATTCTGGAACTCTGGAGCTGTTCTGGAGATGGGGCCACAGGTGTTTGATTGGATGCTGGAGATCCATTCAAATCACTGTAAAGGATTATGCCCTATGAGCCCTCTTTGCTTTTCAGTGTTTGTTTAAATTTCTAAAACTCGTTTTGGTGTAAATTGTGTTCTTGGTCTGTTAGTCATTTTCTGTCCTATCAGTTACATTGTTGCAAGCTTAATTGTGTAACTGAGTGGGTAGCAAACAATTAGTATTTCTCCTTGTTTGTAGGTAACCTTCCGTACATGTATCTGCTGGCTTTTATGAAAACTGAAAAAAATTAGATTTTTTTTTCTTTAAAAAATCTGGGAGCCTGGCAGCTATGAACGTCTGTATTAGAAAGACTCCAGTATCATGATACCACACAATGATAGAATGGATGATTCTCTCATAATGACTTTCGTCACCCACCATAGAACATCTTAATTGCTCATGTCATACTGAGTCTATCCAAAATGACTCAGGCCTCTTAATATATACACACCTGGAATTATTTATAATTGTTATGACATCTGTATTCTCAGGTTGGTGATGGTTTTAAAATCTGACATGGACATGTGTTCAAGCCAGTCCTTGACCTGAAATAATATGAAAAAAGTCTATTGATTCTTATGGCCATGACCGGAGAACCTGGCATGTTTATGAAATGCAGTGGTTTACTTTTTCAGAATTTATTTATTTATTTTATTTTTTTTGAGAATTAAATGCTAAAAAATGGTTCATCATGATTTAGAATCAATAGTCACCAACAGGGATGCGAGTACTCTGCCAAGGATGGGATTCAAACTGGTGACCTTCTGATAAGAGTAACAGAGGCTTCAGTCGCTAAGCCGCATACCGGCCCATAGATACCACTGTGCATAGCTAAAGCGGGGTCATGTCTCCTGGAAAGGCCCCCTAACAGTACCACTTCTGTGGAATGCCATGGCGGTCTGGGGGTTTTGGAGTTTTTTGTACCATTTACAGGAAAACCAGTGTCTGCAGAACTGGGTGGGGATCAAATATGAGGCAGGATCCAGGGATGATGAGATCAGGTCTGGCTACGTCATGCTGTGGTTTTAACATCCGCATATGCCTGTGAGACGGTTTTACATGTCCGTGTCCAAACCGCACTTTGACAACACTGCTGGCTCTTACTCCTCAATGGACATCAATGTTTACATGACCATCATTGTAGGCAGGGTTGCGGTTGGCGTATGAAGACCCTGACAGAATCAGGGGCCCCCAGCACTTTACTTGGGCCCTCGAATACGTAAAATTAGGTGAGGGGGCCCCAGGTGACATTTTGTCAGTGGGTTTACCAGTGAAAATGGGGACTTCCGGCAAATTCTTGCACGGTGTTCAAGAATCAGTCCTGGAATGCTCTCATTTTCCTTTTCAGTCATCTCATCTTCTTAGCTTTTATCTCATTATCCTTTTAGCCGTTTCTTTTGGAGTGAGTAAAGATTAAAAAGTGGGGGAATGAAATGTGTTTCCTTCCAGTGGGTAATCAGAACACTTTGCAGCTCTAAGATTGCTCTCCAGGATATGCCGGGTAATTCCTTTCCTGCCTGCTTGGGCATACCTTGATAACAGGAAGAGAACGTTGTCATCCAAGCTTCCATAGCAGTCACACCTACTTAACATGCCAGTTTCTGGGGGAACTGGCTGAATAGTGCCTTCATTGTGTGCTATAGATCTAGTCGTTGGTTGTATATTCCAAGTAAAATGGGGTACTGAGTTTTGTTCTTCGGCAGAGACGCTGCCATTCTCACTCATGAAGAATAAGCCGAGTGAGTATTGTTAAACCCACTGATCTTTCACCATAGCATGACTGAGATTTTCTTGATAGCGGTTGGAGCTCACCAAAGCCTGCTAAGCGCTGCTAGCTCATTAGACTGAAATGCAGAAGATCTTTCAAGGAGAGAGGGTTACTTTTTCCAAATGAAAACTAGTTTAAATCGGGCTCCCCAACCTCTGCAAACACTCTGGTAGGTCAGCAGTTTGCTCTATATCCCACAAGTCCCCCAAAAATAGGCTAATGTAGTCTGCTACACAGAAGCTATCTTCCGGAAACTAGGGACCTAGCATTGGGTTCATGTTACAAGTGGCAGAGGTGCAGTGAGGTGGCAGATCTGAAGCTGAGCGATGTTCATAGCTGCGCCGTGTCATTTGTAACCCTCTCAGAATTTTTGTTCCAGGGTGAAAGACCTCCTTTTTAGGAGAAAAGCTCTGCATGGCTCCTTCTCTTGGCCAAAGGGTTTGATTTGTTTTGATTACCGACAATCTTCCTTAATCTCTTAAAACATCACCAAACTTTTGGAAAGATTTTACATTTGCAACTTTTCAGTGTAATTTTTTCCTTTTTTTTCTTTTCCTGCTTTGAATAAGAGTAATTTTTCAACATCCTGGAGCCTTTTGCTGTCTTGGCTTCTGTGATTAGTTCCAGAAGACCTGGATCATGCCCTCATTTCAGTGTGGACGACACGTCTTCAACACTTTTCCCCAGAAATATTAGTAACAATGTTGAAGTTGCTGCAGGACTATCCCACTGATAATGTTATAAGTATAGAACAGCCTCGAAAGTTGATGAAATGCTACTCAAGGCACTATTTACAGAGTGAGTGAACACAATCTCAACATGAAACCAATTACGAAGCAGTTTATCATTGCGGCTGGGCCTGTTTTGTATCCATGGTTACCGCACTGTTTGTTTACTCACCAGAACTTTAAATTTCTCTGATGTTCACCAAAGTGACAGTCCTAGTTTCATCATTTCCAGTGTGGTGTATGTATTTCCATCTTGTTAGGGTGTCTTATGGTAGTAAATAAAGTTCTGTCCTTAATGGATGAACTTGTACTGTATGTTTTAGGTGATAAATATTTTCTTGATATGCAGTGCATGTACTTTATGTATATTTACTATGGGGATGCTTTAAATATCAGTGTCTATTAATGAAAATTGTAGGTATGCTATATATCCAAGTTTCGAGTCTGATGTATGTCAAATTCTTTTTATAAACAGATCATATCCACCTGCCATTTCTTAGGGGGCCAACAGGGTATCAGATCTTTCAGCTTTATGAACAGGCTTCATCTCTTATATGGCCTGTTTAGAGTTGAATATTTTCTGTCATGGTTATTTTATGCAACTGAAATTTGAAAATTTTGATTTGTCCAGAAAGTACAAATCCAGACCAAGGTTTTGTTTCAACCAACCAATTGAATACTCTGTTTGAATAGACTGTGACTCTTTATGCTCCACTGATTGGTTGAAACAACACCTTGGTCTGGATTTGTACTTTCTAGACTGGAACTGTCCACCTCTTTCTCTACTGCAGGGTTATTTAAATCACGGTCCTCGAGGTCCGAGCACTGCTGGTTTTCCAGCCTTCCTTTACCTGTGAGCTAGGTGTGAAGCCTCTGCGGCCAATCAGAATGAGTGATTATTAAACTAACTGCCTGGGAGAACTGAAAACAAGGCCTGGATTTGGAATCG